CAAGGCCTTCCACTTGTGGTGGGCTGAGAGTCATCTGAATGCTATTTTCTTTTTCCTAATGCTGTTTCACGCCATGGGAAAGAGCTGCGTGTGGCCAGAGTAGGCGAATCTTCACTTCCCCAGCAGCTCTTCTTGGCTCCACGTACAGCAATGCTCAGTAGAACTGGTTATTGTGGCCATTTGGGTTTACTTCTTTCAAGTGAAAATGTTTGTGGCCATCTCTGAGGCTTAGCTGTCTGTTGGAAATATGCATCTTCATTCTGCATTTACATAAAAATACCCCGCACCACCCATGAGTTTCCTCCGTGCCTGGGCTCTCCTCTGCCTGCCGTTTTGCAAACATGCGTGTGACAGGGATTTTGCACTTACTGGGACAGGAGGGTCCCGCAGGATTTAATCCACCAACCCTACATGTAAATTTACAGCACCGTTGAGGATGAATAGGGAACCTCGTTTCCTTCCTTGTGGTCACCTAAACAGGGAGGGCATTCAAAAATGTTGAATACAAAGTGTTTTGTCCTCGTCTTTATTAATTTATATATTTTATTTATTTATTTATTGCTCTTTCTGCAGATTGCCCCATTCCGTTTCTTCTCCCATCGTCTCACTGACAGTGCAGTTAGTCAGCAGGAAGCCAGGCTTAATATTTTACTCTCCTGTCAATGGGGAACTCATGCATTTTGGGTTTTCCCGCGTGGACTCAGACTAATAATATCTCCTTATTGCAAGCGTGCCCTGCTCTTCCAAGAACCCTCCCAACCCTTTGTTACAAAGCTTCATCTACTCTGCAAAGTGACTTAGGTGGGATTGGGATCAACCATGGGAAAAATCCCATTGATTTTGATGGGAGGGGGGGCAGGTGGCCCCTTCCTAGTCACACCCTACAAAAACAGTGATTTACATGTTCCTTTTTGGGGATTGTTCTAGCTTTGGCTTGGTTTTCTCCCCCCTCTTCCTTCTCTTTGAGCTAGTTCTTGCCTCTGGATTGCCTGTAGGATGGGAGTGGGGTTTGCTGGGAACCATGCACAAACCATGGGCCATTTGGCATTTTAACCATGAAGTCCTAGATGATGGATCGTCACTAGCTCTGTTTAATTTAACTTTGGCCAGCACTAGAATTGTTTCCCCTTTTCATTTTATGGCTGCTGGAAAGTCTCTGCTGTTTTTGGTAATATTACTTTTATTAGTGTTTTATAGCACAAGAACAATACACAGTAATGGGGAGCATTGCCATTACGTGATGTATTACAGCTCGATGGTAAATCTGTGCAAATTAATGGTGCTTTTGATGTGTGAGCAAAGGGGGCTGGCAGGAGAAACATGAGGGACAGGCCCATGTGCCAGTGCACCGCCTCATGTCAGGGCTGCCATTGGGCCAGACAGGCAGCAGCTGGTATTGCAGCCTTGGGGCTCCAGACCTCTGCTAGGTTGCATCCAGCCCCAAGCTTGCTCTTTCCCCAGATATCATCCTCTTCGCAAGAGTAGAGTCCCCAGGGCAGTAAGTTGGATCCCGCCTCTCCGCTGGGTGGACTCACGCTGCTTCTGCCTTGCTCTGCTCCCTCCAGATGGCAAAGACAGGATTTACTCCTTAGCCAGTCCTAATACAGCCGCCACGCAGTATCACTCAGAGCCTGGTGCTGTGTATCTGGATAAAATCCTGCCCAGGTGATGACAGCTCTCCTCTGCTGCGGTCCATAAAAAATAAGAACAGTGGCCTCTCTGTTCCCTGCTCCCTTTTTGCTTCATCTTATTCTGAGCCAGGAAGCAGTGGCAGCAAACGTAAAGCTGTTTGTGCAACTCCAAGTGGCCAACCGGCCCAGATCCAGCCTGCGCTAGAAGGCAGACTATAGGTCAGGACTAGCAGGATGGGTATTAGGTTCAACGAGGCAATTGCACTAGCATGCTGATTGTAGTAGGATACTGATATGCCGAGGCAATTGCACTCGCATACTGATTTCACTAGCATACTGATATGACGAGGCAATTGCACTAGCATCTGCCAAGTTGACACAAACCCTAACTGCTTTGTTCACAGGATGGTGGCTGGAAAGGCGGAGCCTGCAATGCCTGGACGGCTGTATGTTCACCCGGACTCGCCCGCCACAGGAGCTCACTGGATGCGGCAGCTGGTGTCATTTCAGAAGCTGAAGCTCACTAATAATCACCTTGATCCCTTTGGACATGTAAGAGAGAAGTTCTGGGAATGCTATGGGTAGAGGTGGATGCAAGCTCCTGAGGTTGCTACTGGGTTTGAGTTTTCCCAACATTCAAGGGAGCTAGGTGATGCTCTAATCAGTCTGATGACCACAGAAATATTTGGTTTTTTTTTTTGTTTTTTTTTTTCTATGATTGCAACTGAGAACAGGCACGTGCAATGCACCGGCATGAAGCACCCACTGTTGAATGCTTCCGTGCTCTTGGCTGGCCACTTGCACCGCGGTGCCTGGCTTGCTGAGTTACTCGCACGCGTGGTACTGTCTGCCTTTTATTTGGGGCAATGGAAGTCAGTGGTTTCAGATTGTTCAGGGAAGCCTTTGATGCACCCAGTATGTTGAGTGCACAGAAACAGGTTGCATAAGCTCATTATTTTCCAAGCTGGCTTTGACTGCCCTATAAAAGATGGAGGATTTTATTTGGAAAATCTTAATTCATATGTATTGCAGATGTAGGACTGGGAAGGACGCAGTTATCTACCATAATATATTTAATAGCCTAAAACATGGGCCTTTCCAGACCGCCAGCCAAATCAATCCTTATATAATGCATGTGTAAAAACATACTGACCTGTCCAGTTTTCTCCATTTATATTAAATGAGATGTGCAGGTTGGCGGGAGGAAGCAAAGGTAGATTTGTAGACTTCTTTTGACTGTAGTGGCCTCGAGTGGTCTTACCCATACAGGTAAGGGAATGTCTTTTTGTGTAATAGTCTTACGATTTTCAATCAGGGGTGCTTGAATGGGCAGCATGGATCAGCCTCGCTCAACATGAGCGTGCAACAAACCTCTAACGGATGGATCGTCCTCTGGTGTAATTCTGGCGTTCTCCCACCGGGGCATTGATTAGTGATGCTGAAGGAGGCTCTGTCCTTTGTGCAGACATCCAAGTAAACAGTTTATCAAAGCCCTCAGGCCTGTGTTGTTTTAGCAGGGACTAACAAAGCCTTTTGTGACATTGTACTGCACTTTCTCCAGACCGAGTGGAGCAGACAGAGGTGCTGAGGGCAGGCCGTGCATGGGGGGGAAGAGTATAAAAGTCAAGCAGAAACAGAGCAGGCAGAACAGGCAAAGCAGCCAAGTTTGCATTGCCACGAGGGAGAATGAGGCATCTCCAAAAACTATTGCCCAGAGCCAGGCATTTTGCTGCATTTTGCGATGTTTCTGCAAATTCCAAGTGTTTCATTTTAAAATGATCTTCAGGTCTCTAAAGTTCAATGTTGCAAAGACCCAGCCATCATAATGTGATGCTTTGATAACCCAGCTTTGCAGAAAACTGGCAGGCAGAGTTGGGACCTGACCCCCTTCTCCAACCTATTGACCCCAATGAAATGTGTGTGAACTTCAAAGCCTCATCAGGACCATTTAAATGCTTATGTTATTAAGCACAGGCAAGCTCTCCTCTCCCCTCCTCTCTTCTTCAGGGGAAAAAAAATACACCAAGGAAATTAAATGCAAACTACATTTAAAGAACGCACAGCTAAAAAATCTGTAGAATGACACATTACAGTCTCAGCAGCACTTGTAAACTTAATTGCTTTGTATGTCAAGTTTTGTCTCCAGTTCTGCCTCCCTGCCCTCTCAGCTTAACTGCGTAGCTTAATATATTAGTGTTTATGTTGCAAAACGTGTACCGTATAACGTACAGGATGTTCAAGGTGGCCGTAAAGCAAACAGGACATGCAGTGTTGGTGCTGGATCCTTCAGCATTTGCTCTTCCTGACTTTGTCATTTTGAACTGTGCAGTTTTAATACTGCATTTGAACAGGGGAGGCTTCCTTTTGCATTAATAATTAAACACCTCCTTCACCTA